GCTGCCTTTGAGTTTGCCCCTTAACGATTAATTATACAGCAATATTACTTCGCTTGAGTTTGCTCGAGAACGTATAAATATAAATTTGCGCATTCTGATGTTAAACGCAATCAGTCGGTATAATGTAAACATGAAATATGCGAGCGTATCAAGATTCTTCTGTTTACAGTATCATAACTGTGAAATGATATTATCGTGCGATAATTGAAAGTCGGTCGTATACCAAATGGCTGCATTAAGGGACGTAAGCATCCCACATGTATGCCAACGTCTTTCTTTATGACGGAAAATCCTTTTGCCGCGCTCGCGCAATCTCGATTGCAGCATCGTCATCGAAAATCTTTGATCCAATTTTAGGGCCATTGCTCTCTTCGGCCATTGTGTAATCCCTTCTGAGGATTGATATAGGTGCGCATTCTCGTTACAGCAACTGTCTGCGCGTATAAATTTGCCGGACACACTCTCGATGGTCATTGGAGGAATCGCTTCCAGTTTCCTGTACTTCGCTTCCTGGTTAAGGAGAACGAAGACGTTCTCATAACTCGCTAAGAGCCATACTGAACGGAGATTGCCACCATTTATCCGTTTTGACTAAATCATCAATCGTCTCCGTCGCTATATTGTAACATCGAAAAAAATACCGCTCGTTATTTCCGATTTTTGTATTCTCAATTAACAAAATCAGAATCTCGCGCAAAATATATTTTTTGTTTTCATAACATTTACTTTAGTATTTTAATCTAATATATATTCAATAAAATTTAATTTAATATAATATAATATAAATTGAGAAAATAATTTCTGAAAAAATGCTTCACAAATATGTAACAAATAATTTATTCTGATGAAAAACAATATTAACCTTTAAATACACGTGTTGTTGAATATTCGTTACGATGCGCGATTCATATTGCACTTGAACGCTACTTTAAATCATAATTCAAAGACAAACTCGGCTTACACGATCTTCTAACGGAGAATTATTATATAATCTTTGTCTTCTGAAGCGACTATCGGCTATAGTTGCTATAGTTGCAGTAACATGCTCTGTCACGTATAACGGAAAGTTCAGCTATCCCCTTGTCTGGCGATGCCTAAAGGCTACGATAATTTTACGGCTCATTTGCATAATGCCGTCGGCCAGTCACGTGAATCACTTTGATAAGCCCAATAGTAATGGTTTACGTTCTCTCTACCGTAGTTCGTCTGTTCGATTGCGCCGGGCTCTCTGCGGGGAGTTTCGATTTACTGCTCGACCGTGCCGACCGCAATTCAATTTTTCGGCATTTGCTACGATATAAGGTGGAATATAGACAAAGAATGTCCCAGAGAGCCACCATATTTCTATATATTTGACGATAAAAGAAATTAAAAATTTTTATTTATGTCATTATTGACAAAACGTATGATTGCAATAAACACTTGGACGACAAAATATCTAATAGATATCGTAAAGCTATTTAAAAAATATTTTAATTACTCAAATATTTTCTTTTATTATTTCAATATCCAGATATTGAATAAAATATGTAAACCACGAAATTAATTATTAAATAAAGCTGCTATTTATACCATTTGCAAAGTACGGCCACTAAACATCAGATATATTCAATTTAATAATGCTTTTAAGATTTATGTAATAATAATTTACGATATGTTCAACGAATGCACAAAAGTTAAGTCATATCGATGTTTAATAAAGCGCGTGCAATTAATTGTAACGTTCTCTCGTTTAAAGACGATGTCACGACGTGTAAATCCACGATACGCGGTTTCTAGCACAGGTAGATAGATAGATATATAATAACATCGATTACAATTTCAATAGAACACCGCGGCGTTCTTGCGGTACCTCCTCCGCCGCCCATCCGCGACGAACTCGAGTTTGGCAAATTGGCTTCCCGACTTACAATCAACCGCATTCCACAAACGTGTTACACATCCGCTCGATATCTATAATTCTCGATCACGATGCTCGTCAAAAAGGATATCGGACAATCGATTTGGTCGGACAATATTATGTGAAATTACACTGAATCGAAAATACGGGAAGAAATTTGAATAACATCGCCAAAATTAGGAATATCATTCACAAAATTGATTTTCTTGTCTGCGCGTCTTGTCTGTTTTATCAATGTGTCAGTGGCCAAGGTAAATTACGAGAATCGCGGGATAAAAATAATTGTTTGTAGATTGATGCAAATTTCATGCATTGATATAAAAGAGCAATTTATATTTCTACGTCTCTCATTGTGCAATGAATTGTCGTTCTTTTCATTTCAACGTGATAAATATTAGCTTTTCTCCCGCCTTTTTCAATGGAAATATCTTTTTCGAATGAATTCTAATTACACCGGTATATAGGGTTTATTAGAAAAAACCGTAGCTTTTTTATATGCAGTTTCTATGATGATTTATAATAATAATTCTGCGAATAAATAAAGACAATTTTAAAGCGATTGAAAAATACGAACTTAAGTACAGAATCACGACAATATTTTCCAAGGATTGTTTAAACTAGTAACAGCGTAATTAGCCTACGTTCAATAGCGACATTCAGAAGTCGCAATGAAATCGGAAAATACACACAGGGCGAGTCAACGAGCAAGTTGGAGTTAGTCGACTACTCGCAAATGACCTGTCGCTTAAAAATTCAATTTTCCGTGACGTTCGTAAGAAAGTTCGCGCTCCTCGATGAAATTTCCAGACACCTCTTTTCTCGATTCTCGAACTAGAGGTAGTACACGATGAAAGCCATCCGAAAGAGCAAGAGGAACGCCGGGAAACGAGAGAAATTTGTTCTACTAATTCGGGCGATGTTTATTCTCCCAAAGCTAACAGCTAGCAGAACCAAGACGCGTTAATTACAAAGCATGTCTAATTCGGTTTGTAGTTTTTCGAGGTTTAACGGTGTCGTGCCAAGAGACTTTTCTATTTATATACAAACATATAAAGCTATCTAAGATCTAACGAGCTCAAAAATTTATCTCAATATTTAATTTTGCAACCGGCATTTCCAGCATAAAAAATATATGATAAATTAATTAATTCTTAAACAGATCGTCATGAAAATATCAAAAGTGTATTCTTAATTTCTCTCTATAAGTTCTCGACAACATAATAAAGTAAAATATCCGATAGAAATTTCTACCCGAAATGCAATTTCGCGATACAGGAAAATACCGTAAAGAGAATTTCCGTACAACGGCAGTGTGTGTTGTGTGTATGTAACATTATAGCCTCATATTATTCATCATTCTTGGACGTAGCAAAATTCAGGTAATAAGTTATATACAGCTCGCGAAGCATGTTTATGACAAACGAGTAAATTTCCGTTACATGTCCAACATAACAACCGATCGATATCTTCTTTAGGAAATTTTCCTAGTAGCAAATTTTACACCATTTGAAAACAAAAAAGAATTTTGAACTATTTGGAAAGAAAATGTCGAATAATTGAATCATGACACGTACATTATTTAACGAAACTGCGGAAAAACAATTTGATTGATTTTCAGAATAATTCGATATTCTTGGTCCCTGCAGCCAAATCGTTCATTGCTCTTACTGACTGTTCTCGATTTAATGCAATTCAGAATACATACAGTGAATTATGAATAATTCGGTACGTCGATAGAGTTCATCCTGAAATTATTGGCAGACTGCCTTTCGCCGAACGATCTCGAGCGAGCTTGCTTAAAGCGCTTTATTCATGAAGTCCATTCATTGTATGGAAATCAACTTGATAGTGGCCTGCAGTATTTAAGAATATCTGCACTATGAACGGCTATTCCTCTCTTTTTTCCATAATTATAAACGGGTGACATTTAGTATTTATCTTATTACACACAGAATGTTACAGTAACGCGATCTTTTTCTCGATTATATTTCCTTTTTTCTTCTCTTCAAGAAAAGAAGAGCTCAACTATCTCAAATCGCAGACTCTACTGGGATTATAAATAACTGACGATAACTGAACAATAATTGACCGATAACTTTTCGGGGTCGAGATGGATTAATTCGGTTTAAAACTAAACAACTAAAAACCACGAGATATTAAACGTCGAAAATAATTATCGACACCTGCGAGAAAAATATTTCACAGAACAAACTTCCATTTCCATCAAAATAAAAAACGTGGTGCGTTGAAGTTGTTAATACAAACTATATCCTATAAAAACTATCGGTTATTCGTGGCTCATTAAATCGCAATATTCCGTCGAAAAGTTAGATCTCCCTTATAATATTTTATTCGTGATGTACATTTCGATATAATCATGGCCATGTAAATGTACATATATGTGTGTTGGAAAACAATACGTTGCGTCGGTGTGGCCCACTTTACAGACACATTCGCGTTTTGTTCGAATGAGTGACAGTGTCGTTGCACTGCTTTAAATTTATTTGAGCCAGCAAAAAAACAAAAAAAATAATAAAAAATATTCATTAAACCATTGGACTAAATTATTCATAGAATTATATTCAGACGCTTGAAACATGTTTATACTTATATTTAATTATTGAAAAATTCTGACTTTAAATTCTCATTATCGATATAATCATCTATTTCGTTTAATCGCTAAATTTTATTAAATTACTATTTATGTACATTGCTAAAATAATGCGTATAAATTATATATAATACAAAAAAACATTTTAAAACTCTAGAATATTAATTATATTATTATATCGTGTCTTTTATTTCCTATCTTGTAATGTTTCATTTTTAAAGAATATTTTTAAAGAAATTATATTTCTCTAATATTTCAAATCTACCTTTAAAAAATACAAGGCTATTAAGACTTTTCCATTATTATGCTCTTTTCAAGATGGATTCCCGAACTGATCATAAAATGATTTATGTTTCATAAAAATGGATTTACGATTGAGAGACGCGATTAAACGACAGATGACATAAAAAAATCTCGCGTAGCTCAATCATTCCTGATTCTCGTGAAAAAAGGCCGATGCAATAATAACGAATATGGGATTGCACTCACCCGTCTGATGCGAGAGAAACGTTATCAGCAGCACGGCGCGCAGCCATCCTTCTCGATGATCCTTCATGCTGGATGTTTCTCCGAGTGATGTCGGCCTCTGTTCTCACTCTCTCCGGCGAATAACGACGACGACGATGACGACGAAAACGATCTCGTTGTGCCGCACTCGCGTCGCTTTTACTGACAGTTACTCACTACAGCATCCCGGCACTGAACAACATCCGTAAACGACATACACGTCACCGTCATTCTCTCATAGCCAATCGTGCCACTCGTTCGTCTCGTCGCGCGATATATCACATGACTCCGATAAGGTTTGCCATTTGCCCCGCGGCGACAATCGTCGACTATCGGTCGATTATCGTTTTTTTCCAGTGATAACTCTTCGCGAACGCGACCACGCGCGCAAACTTCTCGATCGAATGTTCTTTCCAGACAAGTCCTCGATAACGCTCTTTTGCAAGGATATCTTTCTATATCGATACTCCTCTCGTAGAATATTCAAACGAATCGACAAACCTATCAATGCCCAAATGCTTTAATAACGACCATCATACTATTACATGGATGAGCAATAATTGTTCTTCTGATTTTCTTTCCATGCAATATGTGCGGGAACTATCTTTTTGGAGAAATGATTTTATCCAATTTTTATTTATCGCGATTTTCTTCCTGTCGTAATGCAATATCGTGCTTGTGAAAGACGAGTCCAATTTTCACATGTGCATTGATGCTCGAGTGCTCAAATCACGAAACGACGTCATCGTAAGTGCATCGCCGGAATCTAATTTGCGAACATTCGCTTTAGCACGTACGAGTTTGTGACACGCGGTTGACGATTACTGTCAGTTTAACGAAGCACACACGGCACCGCCCGCATTCTGGTTCGCCCAGAATTGTCGAAACACCAACGCGAAAGGAGGTTGACTTTCTCGGATTTAGAGCGGCTTTGAGAGTTTCGCGCGATGTGTTTTCTTCTCACGCTCGTATATTTTCGTGATTTTAAAGACTCTACTCTTGTATATCCGTGAAAGAATTCTTCGATAATTAGAGCTATAAAGGTAAAGGTTTATTCGCTGTATGTTTCTATTTTTATGAGTTACGCGCCACTCTTCAGATTCATATAATGGTTTCCGCGAGGAAGAGGACTCTTTCGATTTTTCTAAATTCACATTCAAAAAATTAATTATCGCGAGGTTTATAATTTAAACATCTTTACATATCTAAATAATAAATTATTATATTTAATTATCGATTTTCTGATTTACTTTTATAATTGCTCATATACTACGATTTATATGTTATAATACGAGTTCCGTTTGACATCGATGTGTCAACATGAAAAGTCGCTTTTTTCACGTCAAACAATAAATTTTGAATGAAATACTGTGTTTCACGTTAAACGACACGATTTTAAAATACCGACATATATTTTCCAGATTCGACACTATACCATTTACTATTACTGACGAATTTTTCGCAATGACGTGAATCGATGAAAAAAAATTAATCTTGTTTGTAAAAAAAATTAAAGAAATTCGCACTTTCTCGAGCACTCGTGTAGCACGCACGATCACTTATCTCGGATACACGTACCTTATTAATCCTCGTCTCTAGTTTGTGTGAGGATCAAGCACTCCAAGTCAACTTCACGAAATCGATGCACAACACAATGTCCGTAATTCACGTTGTAAGACGTTTCAAGATTCTCTCAGCACCAAAGGCGTTTTTTGCTTCACACCCTGGAACATCGACCAACCCGATAGAGCTGCATTATTTATCAGACACTGCTGCGTGCTTCGCGTGAAGTTTTACGACCTGGCATTATCGATTGTCCAAACTATGGCCCAGATACACGCTTTAATTCACTGATGAACATCGTTTACGAAATCTTTATGTCGCGACAATCGACTTCTCAAAAGTTCGTAAGATATAGAGTAAATCTGTCTTCAGCAGACGATCTTTTGATCATCTGAGTTTGATTAGATAGTCTTTTTTCCCATAATTTTCTTCTTCTTTAGCGAATCCGTGAATATATAAAATCACAATTTTCAATTTTCACAGATTTATGAATCGCACGTGATTGAACTAGATTTTGCGCGCGACACAGAATCTAGTACGCGAAGTTTGAAACTTCAAGGAGTTTACATCGATGATTTAATTGATCTAAGATGAAGACAGGAGTTTGCTCGGGTTTTAGGCGGCCTTCTAATCCTGTCTCAAGAAGCCTTCGTCTTCAGCTGGCAGCGTGTCATCGTATCCCTTTGCACAGATTGCGCTCCATTAACGCGAGGCAGTGACGAACATAAACAGCCGATTAATCTTGGCTCTTCAATCTCATAGAATTTCTTTCATCACTGTTCAGATTTCATCTGGTACGATCCGTTATCTTCTCAGAAAAAGATAGCTTTTTTTGTATCTGTAGCGTCCTGCAAGATAAAGAGAACATTGCTTATATTAAATGCGCAATTGATTACATTCGATCGATTAATTATTTATAGAGTAATTTTTTTGTATTAACATGTAAATGTGGACTTTTTATTTATATAAATAGTAAATAAAAAGCAGGCAAACAATTTTGTAATAGTTGAATTAATAAAATCGTAAAAATTATTTAAAGCAACCATGTTTAAATCTAAGTCGAAAATTCTAATTAAGCAAAGACTATTTAACAGAAAACTGTCAAAGTTTGCGGAAACAGATTTATGAGTCGATGGCAATCGTTGGCAACTGACGAAAGTCCAGCATAGGATACTTAAACGAATCCTCGACAGTTAGAATGTGGGTACAAATCCCGAGGTAGTTAAAGCGTCTTAAGCATCTTGTATGTATTCGTCCAATTCTGCACGAACGAGATGTAATTGGGTCTACCACCTCTTCTCTTTCCCCTGCGTCCTTCTTACGCCCATCGCTCTTGCAAGCTAACCCGAAGTTCACAGCCGGAGAGATATACCATCCAGCAGGTGCACTCTCAAGTCTCTCGGATTAAAGTGCCAGAGCGTGAGTGCCACAGAGTCACTCGTATAACTCAGTAGTTTAAGATTGACCATGGAGTGACTCGATTACGACATGTCTCGGGACTTCGAAATTCTAAGATTTTAAGATTTTAATGGACTTTGCTATGTGTGTACGTCGGTAATCAGTTATATCATGCTTTTGGAATCATTTAAGCTTGTTTTCTTTCTAGAGACATTGCAATTAAACAAAAAAAAACCCTTTGAAAAAATTTTTATTAATCTTTTAAGGAATTTCTGAGAGAAAAAAAAGAAAGAGAATCTTAGAATTTTATTAAATTTAAAAGCTTTATATAGTATTAAGCAATGTGTGTATATAAACCGCTTTTCAAAATAATGTTTTACTTCGAAATATAAAATTTGACAAAATGTAAATATAAATTAATGCTGCAATTATTCTCTGCCAAAAAAAAGATTATAATAATTGAAGGTCATTCGTTGATATTAGCTCGTTCTCTGCTTGTATTTCTGTACGACTATATTTCATGACAAATCAAGAATTTATATGAATATATGCAGGTATGAATGTAGATATATAGCATCACTAGATGAGCATTGCTGAATTTGTACATCCAATTTCCAGACGACAGGACTTAATAACCGAGGAACTTCCTACGTATGCGTGTTAATTAAAGTACACATGCGTTATCCGAATTTCCCTAACTTTAACTACTTCTCCGTTGACCGAAAGTTTAAATAGCTCGCCGCACATTCGGCTAGTAGTACGAAACCGGAAATATACGGAAGGCGTACTAAACCAACGACAAGAGGCATGACCACATTTGCGTTAGATTCGTATTATGCCAACATATATATCTTGTTTTAAATGCATTAGCGAATACGTTGATTAACGTATCTATTTTCTAAATTTCCGCAGAATAATTAAACAATACTATAGTTTATATTAATGGATCAAAATTATCGAAATTTATTGAGATAATAAATGGTCGCTGTTTCGTGATACATTCATCCGTTACGCAGGAATAATCGAGAGAGGTTATACGTCATATCCTCTCTCGATTATTCCTGCGTAACGAATGAACGAACTCTGACGAACGATGCTTCGACGTTAAGAAAGTTAAAGGGGAGATGAGAAAAAGCCAACTGCTCCGCTTCAACGCAACTCGGGAATTTCTGTCGAACTCGAGAGATGAAGCAATATAACGTCTCGTACGGAAGCTTAACGGGAAGCGAGAGCTAGTTCGATTACCCGGGAATTGGTCTTTCATCGTCGCTCTAATTCGACGGTTACGTGGCAGCTTTCCGGCCGTTAAGACACACGCGGTTACAACTTTGCAACCAATCGACGGTTACAATGGTTGTGAAGAACTATAGAGGATGAAATTTGTCAGTCCCCTTCGCCACAGCCAACCAAACCATAATCCCACGTGAGAATAGTTACATGAAACGCGTTACGTAATTATGGGAAGAACAAAGATGATAATATTAATTTGAGAACGTAAGAATGAAAGAATTGAAACAAGAATTAATTTCGCGAATTAACTACATAATTCAATTTTGTAGTTCATGGATTTCGGATAAACTGCGAGATTATCCGTTAAATCTATTGCAATCTTTGTTTTGTAACTCGTTCGATAAAATACTTTTCGATTGTTCATAAAGTCAATAATAATTTTTCGAAAACAATAATGACTTTTTTCTCACTTTTAAGTTAATAATGCTATGAGATAAAATTCGGACTTTATTTTCACCAATAATGCGCAGAAAAAAGCTTAACAAAGTTCAGTAATAATTACAGCAACTCACAAATGCCTTGTTGAATTAAAAAAAAAACGCGGATAAAACTCGCGAGTATATTTCAATCCAAAAGCTTTGTACATGCAACTTTCACTTTGTTGGTATACTCGATTACGATATAAAAGAATCATAAATAACTTGGTCACTTGTAAGTCTCGGCGTCCAGTTGTTATGAATATTTAACAACTGTGTCGTAGACACGTCGCGTACTTAATACGATTAAGCGCGAAATCTTTTTCATTCATCGTATGGTGCCATTGCACTTTGTGCTGGTTGACCTCCTTTCCGTCCGTAACGACCGCAATTGTCAGAAATTGGAGGTGACCCAAACGCCCGAATGATAAGTGTGCCTACCCTCATTCTCACCTTCTCATAAAAGTACATTTGCCTCGTTCGAGGCATAACCATCGCGTGAATTAATAAGCCTATTTTGCAATTTTGTTACGAGCTTATCCCATAATTCCAAGTTAAATGAAAAAAAGCTGTGTTAACTTTTCGAGATTCGGTGGAAAACAGTGATGTATTCTTCACGCATATAAAATCATCCTGAAAACGAGATATCGCTGCACGCAATCCGCCCTCGTTGCAACACTTCGTGAATTATGTCTGCGAGTTTGCATGTAATCGACGAATGAAGCAATTCGCTCGTGCCGCGTAATCATAAAGTTTGTAACTACCTTTTCGCACGGTCAACTAGAAACTACCCGCCTCATATGGTTGCCAAAAACCAAGCCATTATATTGTTAGCACGACCGACACAAAGAGAATTTCATACGTGCCTAGGAAAATTTGTCGCGTCTCGCTATCTCTTCATCATAGTCCGAGCCTTTCAACTGAATAATGCTTCATTTTTATCACACCAGCATTACTTTAGTTTCCGAAAATAATAAAAAAGAAAAAAAAATTCTACATAGATTAGTTAATTTTACATTTATTGTCTCAATCATTAGAGAGAGAGAGATCTACATTTGCTTTAAAAAATTCAAATAATTTTAATTTTTATGTGACACTTTTTATATGTATGTCAAATCTTTTGCGACAGTTGAAATATTAAAAGAATTTAGAAGAGATTATATAAGATACGAAAATTATAGAAATTTATAAGATTTCATTGAAACGGATTTTTATTTTATTTTAATGAATCATTATTTTATTCAAGTGAATTTTGAAAGATATGGAAAATGAAACCATAGCTAGCGGGATAAGCGTTCTATCATTTTAAGTATGATAATAAGTGGCATAGATGTTGCGATAACGACGTTTCAATGAAATAAACACGGCTTTTCGCAATTACACTTTAAATTCACTACCAGGCGATGTGTGCAAACCTTTTGATAAAACGTCAAAACCGCGAGACACGTCCTTGATTATTCGGCGCTTGCGTTACATTTCACTCGCGCATAAAATCATCATCGGAGATGTCG